GATTTGCTCAAGAGCTCTCAAGTGGTTTGAGGATTGCTGTTGGACAGACATTTTCCAGTCTTTCCACAGACTTTCTCTTAGATTCAAATCCATATTTTGACTGAGCCACTCAAGGACATACCTTACATACTTAAAATTGACATACTGTACTTAAGCCTTGACCTGGTGATTTGGTGATCATTGTCCTGCAGAATAATTACGACAGTTTTAAGTTTTTAGCAGCCTTAAACATGTTTTCCTTTAGCTTTTGCCTGTACTTTTCTCTGTCTATTCTTCCTTCAAGCCTAGCAACCTTTGTAATCTTTGGGGAGGAAATGCATTCCCATAGCATGATGACCACCTGTATGCTTGACAATAGAGATGGGGTTGACTTAAGAGATGTGTTGTATTGGGACTTCACCAAATGTCAACGCTTTGTCTAACCTGACCACAACACAATTTTCCACATTTTTTGCAAACTCCATCAAAGTTGATACCAATTTTACCTTTTTTCCCCCCACGTGATTTAGATCTGGAGATGTTTCTGACCAGGGAAGGTGGTTCAAATGAAAAAAAAAACTCTCCTAAAGTATTACAGTCATTCTTCACAGAGAATTAATTTGACTGAGGAAACTAAGTACTTCTTTCAGAAGAACAGAAAATGGTGCAAGAAAATGTCTGACATCTTTTTTTTTCTTTACGACATAAAAATATACACCAAAACTCTGTCAACAAAACATTATTAGGACATTTCTGAGCTGTTTATTTTAAACAGCTATAAATATGTAACAATTATTTCATGATAAAGGATGTGAAATAAACTTTGAAAGAAAATTTGAAAGAATACTTTGCGACTTTCAATATCATTAATTATTCATCCTAATCCAGGTTTAGCACTATTTCAAACATAAGTTTGAGAATGCAATGTAGCAGTAGCGACTTCCTTTCATCTTAAATATTACAGGAAACAGCAACAAAAGGAGACCCTTTCAAGTCGGGAATCCCTAAAAGCCTAGTGTTTCGCGTTTGCTTACGTTTCATTTGAGCTTAGTTTGGGTTTACATTTGCAAAACAAATCGATTTAACTAGTAAAACAACAATTTAGACAGCTAGCCACGTGCTACATACCAGGTTTGACAAAAAAAGATAAAAGCAAAAATATACCACGTCACCATTTTATGTTTAAAATGAAATATTTTATGTTTTATGTAGCAAATTCAGAATGTATTAGGATACACTTTGCTTTTTGATACCGACTGCTTTCAAAAAGACACTAAATATCGTAAATTGTGATCACACTTAGAAGGAATAAAGAATTACTGCATGATTAGAAAAAAAGGCTGGTGTTTTCATATTATTTGCATCTTCAAATTTTAAACTCAGCTGTTTTCCTAAAACCAGACTGCAGGTGTAAATAAGTCCGCATATGTCTTACCGTTCTCATGGTACACCATGCCGATAGTCCCTCCTGTGTTGATGACCAATACCCGAGCTTCTGTAGCTGGGCTCACAGGTCCTTCCAAAGAGTCCGAACTCTGCGCGTTAGATAGCCTCCTCCTTCGGCAAGTCTGGGTCCCACCAGTACGAGATGGGGCCGCTTGGAATTGCAGTCCATCAGACTCCAAGCGATCCAAGCTGGTGTGCGACAAAGCCTTACCCAGAGAGGACATCTCTGAAACTGGAGATGAATCCTCGCTAAACCGCTTCTCATCCGCCATGATCTGAAAAGCACGCAAGTTAGAAAAAAAGGTACTTCTTAAAGGGACAGAGACTTTCTTTCTCTTGTCATGATGTAGAATACCCAGTCCTACTCTTCATGAGTCATCGTCCTTCAGATCTCTCTTATATCATCACCTCGTAAAGATTTGAAATGCAGGTTGTGATCAATTTAGTAGGTTCATTGGTTTACTAAAGCGAGAAATATCCACCTGTGGTCTTTACAGGGTATTGTTGGTTTTTTTCATTGACCTACCTAATTAAAGAAAATACCTGTTCAAGTGGTCAAAACGAAATTATTTATAGATTGGTTTATGAAATACATATAAAACCCACAGGACTGTGACTTTCTGGGTCTAAGATACATCAACATTTCTCCAAGAACTCTGTCCTGTGTAGGACAAATCCTTTTTTAAGTAATTTATTCGGATTCTATATAAATAATTTGTTCTATTCTTATGACAATGCGGTATGTATTCATTCACCCACCTACTATACATACTTTAAGAACACGCATCTTGTATTTAAATCCTAAAATGTCATATTGTTATTACTTCAAGCGATATATTAATAATATACACATATTTTATGTGAAAATACATTTTATAGAAATATTTTAATTCTTTATCCAACACTATCTTGTTGGGTTGTACCACAGTGAATAATTTCTTGGACAGTTTGAGAAAAACCAGACTGGAGCTCTTGAAACAGCTTGATTCTGTTTTCAATTATACAACAATTTTAAATTTCAAAAATTATCATTTAGGGTGGCATGGTGGCACAGTGATGAGGCCCTGGCTTCACTTTCAGACCTGGGGTGATATCTGCATGGAATTTGTATGTTCTCTCCATGTTCATGTGGGTTTTCTCTAGGAGCGCCAGTTTCTTCAGTCTGCAAGCCAAAGACATCCTGGTACAGTAGGTTACAGTAGGCCTCCAGGAAAATTGGTCCAAGGTGTGAGTGTGTACATGTTTGTGTCTGTGTGTGCACCCTGTGATGGACTGGTGATCCGTCCAGGGTGTATCCTGCCTTGAGCCCATTGCTCTCTCACAGCCCTTAATTGGAGGAAGCATTTTTTTAAAATGGAAGAAAGGAAATATGATAATTTGTATTTTTCATTGGGTGTGCTTGATAAATATGTAAGTACAGACATTTTGAAAAAAAGACATAGGTATAGTGTATATTTACAAACTATTCTGTTCGTTTGAACCAGTGATTATTTGAACTCTACATTTCCAATATATACTGTACATATTAACAGGGAACATTTTCACTTAAATTACTCATTTTTGTAGACATATTGTACTATAAAAAGCCATCTACCAAGAAATAGCAGCAACCCAAAGAATAACTCCATGTTTTGGATCTACAGACAGCACTGCAGAGCATACAGAATGTACAGAGCCTACAGAGCGAGAAGCAAGTCAACTGATTCAGCTCTGGAAATAGTTCATGAAGTAAAAAGTTCAGGGTTCAGTGATTTACAAGCCTCACTCTTCAGATCAATAATGAGGACTCGGAGATGCTGAATTGGTTCCACCAGTCAAGGTGTTTTGAGGTGCTCAAACCTCGTGGTACAGTGTACAATCTAGAACATAGTCAAATATTATTGAAACAAATAACAGAACATAGCTACAGTGTCTGCAGGTTTTTTACAGATTAATTTGTTTCTGAAATGAATTTCATACATTGGAGTAACAAAGTCATCAGCTGAGCACAACTGCACTTTTCAGTGCAGTGAAAAGAACAGGAGTGTGATGCACCTTGACAAGTTTACCCTTTTTTAAATGTTATTTGTTGGGTGCATACTGCACTGCTGTAGTAAATAATGAAAACAGTTATAAATATACATTGAGAATATTAATCATACCAAGAACAGAAACATTACAATACATTTAGATTTGCTCCTCTTAGAACGTGTGTCTAGCTCCTGACCGGAAGATCCCGGGTTCAATCCCAGGTAGGGGCAAACAATGTATCTTACTCTAATTCCTTCCAGACGGCTCCCAGGTCTACTCAGCCTGCTTTCCTAGTAAGTACTGGGGTTAATCCTTCCGGAGGTAATAGGCCAGCCGGAGCGTGATGCTGAGCACATCACATTTTTTAGAAAAATGGTGGACCTTGCCCCCCATTCCCTCATGGACCTTTATGGCCTGAAAAGGGGACCTTACTTACCTACCTTTCCTATTAGAACATACTGTAAGGGGTGCTGGAATAAGGAGGCTCCATTTCACATGTGACTCTAAAGAATAAGATACACTGCTGATGTCTCTTTTGCCACCAGAGGATGCTGCTGGTACATTATTTTCAGCCTGTTTCCGATAGCAAGAACGGGAACCTGTGGGTAAACTATGTAGGTCAGAGTACAACAGAGATCATGTTCTACTAATTGAGTAAAGTGCAAAGCTTTGATCAATACTGGCTCTAGAAAATTCAATTCCTGAACTGTCTCTAAAAGGACCCTCTATCCTGGATCTGGAATGGCAGTAGGCAGTCTGCAATTAGCAGAGTCTACTCTTACTTGATATGAACCCATTGGTGCTAAAAGATGGCCAATATATCCTTCTTCTAGTGGGGGCGTAACATAACAGTACCCGAGCAGACGGTCTGCCTACACATGACCAACAGGAACAACTGCCATGAGGAGTCAGCCAACATCTCAGAATTGGGTGGTACTGGTCACATACAGTATGGGCAGGATATGAGCAGAAATACACGAATGAGGATGAAAAATGCCAACACAGTCTTTTTCATCATCTTAATCACCATCACTGGCATCATCCTCCCTCCACGAGCAGGAGGGAAGGAGTGAAAGTAGTCCCTTAGTCCCGGTAGGAACATGACAAGCCCGGCATTTTGGTGTCTTTCGTGTCACCCCTTTGCATTCTAGCCCCAGGTTAGATGATGGTAGCCAATGTGTTTGGCTGCCCTCTTTTTGTTAACCTGGGGATGTCTGCCTGTTGGCTCTGCCTATTAAACTATAAATGTATGAAACTAAAGCCTGTGAACATTGTGCTGTGTACTTCATTGTTAAATTCTTTACTGACATATTTAAACAACACAGTATTCTAGAACCATGCAATTGTGTACATTTTGTGAACAAAATAAAAGTATTGTTGTAAGTCAGCATCAAGGCACTATCCTTGATGAGCAACTTCAAGGCAGTCATGGTTGCTAAAGCAGACTACACTGTACTTTAAAAAGACTCTGATAATCTGCACTGTTCTCCTTGTATTTTATATAAAAAAGCAACTGCTGATTGCAGCTACAATTGATTTTCTGGCCATAAGTCAAGCACTTTGTAGAATATAATCTCTATTGCAATATTCCATCCATTGTCTAATCAATTTTTTCCAATTGCAAGTGGCAGGGGAGCTGGAGCCCTGAGTAGCAAGCAACAGGTGCAAAACAGGATGCCAGTCCATTGCAGGGCACACACAGACGCAAACAAGCACACTCATACTAGGCCAGTGTTCCCAAAAGCAAAGTAACCTACTTGTACAGTATGTGTTTTGGCTCTGGGAGGAAACCAGAACATGCAGCAGAAACCCACCCATGGGAAGAACATAAAAAACTCCACACAGATAGCACCCTGGGAATGGAACCCAGGACCCCAATGCTAACCACTGCACTACTGTGCCACCCTATTGTGATATTGTACAACTAAATAACTGTACATGGATAACCAAAAGTATATTAATATTTATACTAAAGCAAACTTCTGAGCCTATACAAGTTCTTGAAGTTCTAGATTCTCGATTAACTCTGCTTGAGGGCACATTCCTATAAATGCACGCTTTTCCTTTAAGAAACTATAACGCTATTTCTTCTGAACAGAAAATGAAAATAAAATATTTGTTATTAAATTTACATAATGTAATCCATAGCAAATAAACTTTTTCTCTCATAAACAGCGTTCTTACAACGCAGGGATAATTTTCTGCAATTCATTTCTATTGCTAAACCTGTTCCCTACTGAGATTAGCAGGTTCATTTGCAACAGCTATCGAGGTTTAAATGTCGTTCCATTTTAAGTGATAACTCATAGACTTTAAATTGTAAGTTGTAATAGGAAATCCCCTTAAATGGCAAATATCACAGACACCACGGTGTCAAAAGCTATCATAGGGTAATTACAAACACAAAAATAAAAAATGTAATAGAAGGACCCACCACTACACAGGAGGTTCGAATCTGTCACGGAGATCTGCTGTGGGTGTCAGTATCGTCCCTATATGAACTGCAGAAGACAGTGTTTTAAATAAAACTTTTTGTACCGTGTTCTATTCCAGGGATCCTTCCACCCTAGACCTATGACAGTCTAATGGGAGTTGCACTGTCGACCAATAGGACTGCTGCAGTTACAAGCCGTTATTTCGCAGCGCCTATTCGATTAGTGACGCATTTTACGGTCAAGGCAAATGTCAATTAACATTCTGTAATATTATTAAATATACTTTAGTTTTTACGACAAGTCAGAAATGTTATCAGTTTAATAGTCACTTTCTGCCATACGTTTATAGTAATATTAAAGTAATCGACTGGAACGATGCTTATGAAGTGTTTTTTAAACAACATTGGAACAAGATTCAATCTCTGATATGCAATCTCTGTGTAATTATACACAAACAATAAACAAATACATTAGTCAGTCATTCTCAGCAACAAAATTAATACATATAGAAAGCTTTTCAAGGATGTGACCTACGGGTACTTTTCCAACTTTTCCAAAAATGAAACTCCAATGTTTTCTGTCATTTTGGAGGATTGTATATGGCAACATACATTTTTCTTTCCTGGCATAAATATATCGAGAAAGTAGAAACTTTGAAAGAATAATAATACAGGAACGATTAAAAGATTACATTTATTGTGTGTACTGTATAAATGAATCCCTTAAATGCCTCCTCAGGGAATGGGTCGGAATGAATGTATTTCAAAAGAAATTCAGTACGTAAAAACATATTTATCAAAACTGAATTTGCCATGTTTGTCTTCTTAACAAAATACATTTGTTTCGAATGAACGTCCAAAAACTTAGGAAAGCTGAAGTAAAAAAAATAATAAATGCTTTAATAAACACCCCTTATGTTTAAATACATTAACCTGTATAATCTCGGACTTTAAGTAAACAGTCTTCATAATGTAACATGCGTTAAAACAGCACTGAAAAAGTCTGGAAATATGCTTTATATTGTTCTACTTAGGAATATACAGGCATGTTTAAATCAATTTATGCTAGGTTTCTGTCTTTTATAAATAATAGAGGTTCAAAGTATGAAACTAAACAACGAAGCAGGTCTTGTTGATTTAACTTCAGTTATGCAAGTTTCACCCATGGTTGGTGATATATTGTGCCAACAGTGATTTTGATTTTTATGCTGTCAAACCAAGGACATGAATGTCAATACTCTTGGGCTTTGTCTTTCTGTCTATATGACCCTTACTCTGTGTTTGTCTGTTCTACTTTGTAAGTACCTGTGATATAATTCACACAAAATGTAGTTGTTTTTCTAAGAATACTCTTAATTTGTGTGATTGTGATTTAATACTGACGTTTTAACCCACTGTAAATATGCATTTTGCTAATCGTTCATATGTCTCTTTTACATTCAGATGCATTTGTCTATTTTATTTGCATCTCTAGGACATAAAGGTAAATATTCCTCCATCACAGGTCCAGGTCCCTGGGTTCAGTTCCATCTTTGGGCACTTGACAGTGTGGAGTACTCCCAGTTGTTTGCTTGTTGCACTAGTTCCCTTCCACCTCCTAGAAACATCATTTTGAGTGATTAGTTTGATTGACAAAATTGCCCCTTTCCAGAGGATATTTTATACTTGGGGATCTTGTTTCCAGTACAAACAGTACAGATGACGGGGTCATAAACTAGTAGACCCAAATGATTGTAATGGACTCAATGGCTTCCTCTCATTCAGAGCCTTTTTGGTATCCAGGCCTCAGAGGAAAAAAAAAAGGTGGTGCCAACACATAAGGCTGCCTCTGCTTTAACTTGGTTAAAGTGGTGTGAGTAGCAATGGCTACTCTGCCTACTATGCGTTATTGCATATTAGTGCTTCACAAAAGGGTTAGGGCCCTGTTTTGAATTTGAAGCAAAATGGGGTCTGTCTGTGGTAAAACAGAGTGAAGATTAAATCCCCAGATGCTGGATGAGGGAAGATAAAATAAAAGGGGACATCCAGTGGCAGACTCTAACAAAGACTCTAGGGAAGTACCACCATGAAGGGGATGTCTTCACACTTGAAGCAGAAATAAACAAGGGCTGGCACAATAATACCTCTGACAACTACACGTTGTAAATTATTAAATGTATCTTTTCTCACACTCTTCTCTCGGTGATCTCTGCATGTAAAACTTAAGTGGTAAAAAAAAGACATCAAATATAAACAAAATATTTAATCCCCTTTCTACACCTTGGGATGGGTTTATAAAGATAATCAAATTTAAGTAATCTAATTTAAGAATTTAAGGATATTTAATAAACAGGCTAAAGCAATAGCCGTATGAGGCCTTGGCGGCATTTCCTCATTTGGCAAGAGGAAATATAGAGATTTAACACCTGGCTGAGAGACTGGTGCAGAAAAGAGGGGTTTACAGTTATTGGGAATTGGAGGTCTTTCTGCAACAGGTAGGACCTGACCAGGTCCAACTTGTTTGATAAGCATACTGATGTATTGGGGAAGTATGTGTAGTATAATTAAGGAGTATTTAAACTAGGGAACTAGGTGGCAGGGATCTTAAAACTGGTCTGTTGTAGTGGGATCGGAAAAGCCCTTGGGAACACCAAGAAAAAATTCTAAATAAATAACTTATCGATTATGATTACTGTAGCTTACTGTATGGTGAGATGATCCAAAAGCACTTCCAGTTTTCCAGTGCAACAGCAGTAAAGAACACTAAAAATGGAAGTAAACAGTTTGCAAGATTTAATCACATATACATATTCAGTTTAATAACAGAAGATAAAACGCATTTCCTTGCATAAGCATTCCATTGCACGTGTGCATTTGTAAAATAAACTGAACTGAATATTATTGCTCTGTGCCAGGCCACTGTGCCAGGCCACAAAACCAAATTGGCAGTATTTTTAGCGATCTGACACTAGAAGCCGCTACATGTTTTCTAAACTGCTTGTAGATAGCCTCTGAATGCATTAATTACGTTATTATTAGTTAACTGATTAAGAGTGTAGTAATGCATATTCTCACATGGGTGAACTTAAGTCTTGGTTTCGTATACACAGTGTAGACATGGAGATAGGTGAGCTGGGTGTTTTTGTGGTTGTTGTTTAATGTCTTAAATAGGCTTAATAAATGAAACCTCCTGGACTGTTTTCAGTCTTTGAGTTTTGTTTGTGCAGACTCTTGGGAATGCCCTGGCAGGGTAGGATCTGACACACATTTAAATGACTACACAAATACAAGGCAGTACATGTGGGCTGAGGTTGAGGGATGCTCTTTATCTTGCTATATTATATCGCATCTATTTTTATAGTTGTTTCAGTATTATTGAAACAAAATGCTGTTCTCTAGTGAAGCAGATATTGAGTTGATTCACACATGGGTCTTCAATTGACAAGGACATGGCTGGAATAATGCAGGAGCTTTCTGCTGCACTCAAGGGACTGTTCAACAGAAAAGCTCCAGTTATTAATGGCCAACCAGCAGATTTCTACTGCGCTTTTTGGAGATGCTGGATTTTTTTTTCACTTCTCCATGCTCTTTGTGTAGTTGCTGTTCAGTTGCATGTGGGCAGTGGTCACTCTGCTGCCTTTTTTTTACATTGAGCCTCTCCTCAATCAGTAATTCCAGGCCATCAAAGGCAAACTTCAACATATTTAGGAACTGAAAAAAAGAGGTCAAATTAACCTTATTATTTTCACATATTTGGTGAAATAAGGGTTCATTTATATAACTGGAATTCAAGATAGCAGGTGTGTGAATCCCTAGAACAAGACTGGGGACCGCTGCCTTAAAGGCATATTTGAATTGTATTTTTATGTTTTACCTCTAGATGGCAGAAGAAACTCAAATAATCTCTCATCTACCCTTTTTATCTCTTACATATTAAAGTGAAATAGGAGGTTTGGTATAATTCTTCTCTGCATTATTATATACTGCATATTTAAAATGATATATATGCTTTACGATAAGCATATTGCGTAAAGCAACTATAATTTGCCCTTTATGAGCATCTGCGATATACCTATCACTTTTCGTAAACCTAAATCTAAATCTTGCATATATATTTCTACTATAAAATAGCAGTTTTATTAATAATACTGTAACTGTAAATGATAGCATATAGACCTCTATTTAATACATACAATTGAATAACTGGATTGTGGTTTATACGCGTGCCCAAAGAAAACAGAAAACTTACTTATTATTAAAAAAAAATAATTAATTATTTATTCCTGATTTCTTGATTGTCTATCAATCCATGTTACACTAATAATCCCTTTAGCAGAAGAGTAGATGAGCTAGCTGTGCCACAAGCTGTCCATCCTGCCAAATTTACAGTGTGACATCTACTTTCTAGATCTCTCCCCAGCAGTCTTGCACACCTTCAACACAAATAGTGCAGAATAGGATAGGCCAGGATAGGATAAATCAAACTGTAGCCTTTCTAACGCAGAAGGTTTTGAGTGTGGATTAGAATAGAAGGTGACTCTCTGATATCCTTGGGGATAGAATTCCAGAGCTCTGGAGCATAGCAGGAGAAGGCCTTGTCACCCATCACCCATGTGTTCTCCTCCCTTCCGTGCTCTACTCCACATTTTAAGGTGAATCCACATACTGTATGTGCCACTCTCTCCAAGGGAAGGGCATTTTTCTGCAGCACATTTCAATCTATGATTGTCTTTATTTAAACCTTTGAATCTGTTCCCCCTGTAAAAGACTCTGCTTTGTTATAAGGTACTTTAGGACATACACACAATTTTGTTAATTTCGTCAAATATTACTAAAAAATGACTTGTCATTAACACACTTGTTTGGTTACTTGCAAATCCAGAACTTAATGCAATTTTTTTTTTCTTCTACAGTCTCCCACTAGTGATTAAATTATGGAACTCAGCACCCTGTCTTCAAGAGTGCTATATATTATTCGTTTCTGTCTAAATACTCCAAATTATAATGATCTGCACTTACCAAAGTTTAAACAGTACATAACGTACATAATTGACACCTGAAGAAGGCTCCACGGCCGAAACGTTTCGTTTTCTTCTCTTTTCAGCATGGAATAAACCT